AAGATATTTATTATATATTTTCAAAACTGCAGTGATCGAGCTCTTTGAGCTAGCGCTGGTTCTATGTACCAAAACCTGCTGCTTCAGCTGGAGTCCACATTTGTGTCCGCCTCTGGTAGCTCCAGCGACATTGCCTGTCATTGTGTGACATTTTCCTGATATTGTGTCAGTTAAGGTGAGGGACCTCTCATGGTACAGTCACGGGGCAACAGTCAAATGAGGCTAAACTCGTCAACCGGATGTCCTTCTTTTGTTGTTGCTCTCCTTTACAGACAGAAAAACAAACTCACAAACCTATGACACTGTTACACGAACAAATACAATTGTCACACACTTACATCATCATCATCATCATCATCATCATCCCGTAACTAGATGTCTTTGGGTCACCAGTTTCTGTTGACTGTCTGATCAGCTTTCTCCACCTTTGGCGAGCAGTTGCGATGGACTTCATGGTTGCATGCCTGAGGCCTGTCCAGTCAGTCAGGTTCCATAACCAGGTCTTTCTTGGTCTGCCTCTTCTCCTCTTTCCCTTTACTGAGCCCTGAAGTATTGTTTTTGGAAGGCTGTTAGATTTTATTACGTGTCCATACCGTTGCATACTTCGCCTTTTCACTGTAGTTAAAAGAGGTTCATAGTTGCCAATGTGCTTATACACTTATATAAAACTGATCTATTTCCCATATACCAGCAGTATGACACCATATCCTATATATTTCACACAAACCACAAATCTCCCATATCCAGGGCCAGATTAACCATAAGCACACTAAGCACATGATTAGAGCATCCCGAAGGTTGAGGGGCACAACTGCAATTTTCAATAGCCTTCAAGCTGCGTCTTTTTTTTTTTCTATCTTAAAACTATGGCCTGCTGGGAACTTGCTAGAGGGCCTCATAAGCAAAGCGGCCCTATGCTAATTTGCCTGTGTCAAGTGACGATTCTTGTAAGCCGTTGTCGTAGGGGCTCCAGCACATTGGTTTGCGCAGGGGTCAATAATGCTGGTAAGACAGTTCTGGGGCGGGGATCTGTGGAAAGGGGAGGGTGGGGGCGGTGGGAGGGGGCCGCCCTAAAATGTTTATATACATCTTATATTACCACAGTATTTCAAAAGAATCTTAAAAATTCCTGAAAATGAGCAACATAGGTCTTGCGTCAAATTATGAGGAGAGTGAAACTGAAATAGTGTGTGACCATTGGAGAGTTGTGTGTGACCATTGGAGAGTTGTGTGGAAAGTGAGAAATGAAAGCCACACCAGAAGTTTCTTGACAGCTTTATGTCATGTCCTGGAGGAGTGTCAGGACATGAGCCCATACATGCTGATGAAGATGATGATGATGATGATGATGATGAACACGATGCTACGACCAAACTCTACCAAAGTTATTAAAACGTTGTTTCCGTGATAAAAGCATCACGCAGCCAGTCACGTATATTCACGCAACCAGTCACGTATATTCACGCAACTAGTCATGTATATTCACGCAACCAGTCACGTATATTCACGCAACCAGTCACGTATATTCACGCAACCAGTCATGTATATTCATGCAACATGTCACGTATATTCACGCAACCAATCGCGTATATTCACGCAACCAGTCACGTATATTCACGCAACCAGTCACGTATATTCACGCAACATGTCACGTATATTCACGCAACCAGTCACGTATATTCACGCAACAAACAGTCACATATGAAACGATAAAACAGGTTGAGCTAGCAGAGGGACAAGCATCCCCTCCTTACACGTTGATGGGTGTGTGTTGTGTATCTCCAGCTATGCCTCTGTTTTTGTTTAAAGTCTATGCATGGACACAGCGTGCAGCCAATAAGATGTATGCTGTGGTTCCCCGGTCCCCGAACTTCATTCGCTCCTTGACACCGTTCTTGAACCGACATGTTTGTGAGCCGAAACAATTCACCCATTGAAATCAATGAAAAGCCATTTAATCCTTCGCCTGCTCCACAAACATATTGTATTTAGACTTTTTGTTAGATTGATTTATGTTTGACAAAAATATAACAATATAAAATGTGGTGGTTAATAGTTGCTGACACAGATAGATGGCCGAGAAGTAATGCTACTCGTTCGAAGGAGATGGTTGGAGTCGCCGAAGAATGTGCCAGGACATTATGGGACAGGAGCGAATGAACTGGCGGATTGGCTTGCTGGTCGGACCACGGTGTATACAGGAAAATCAATGTTCTCAAGGCTTTTGAGGAGGCAGGGCGAGTAGATGATTCAGGAGATGACGATGAATCGGAAACTTAGAGATGAGTACAATAATTTCATGTCAAAAGAGTTGTTGCCAGACATGGATCTATGTACGTAGCCAAAGAAGAATAGTAAACCAACGGAAAACCAAAGTCATCAGTCGCCACAAGCAAGACCACATTGCCAGGTTAAACGCAGCATGCAGTAAATACAACACGAAGATCAGTGCAAACAAAACCGAAACAGTGCAAGTTAGTAGAACCCCTGTCCTACTACACATACAGTTGAATGGTTCTACTCTGAATCAAGTTAGGGAGTTTAAATATCTAGGAAGTATGATCAAAGAAGATGGTACAATTGACAGAGAAATATAAACCAGATGTCAGAAAGCAAGTGCACCTATATACCAATTGTCACCATTATTAAGACATCTAAGTATTACTATGAGTGCAAAGAGACAGATTATAAACAGTATATGCATTCCAACATTAGGCTACCAGTGCCAAACATGGACACTATCTAAAGCCCTATGTACGCAAAAACACCACTTGTGAGATGAGGTGCCTGAGAAAATCAGCCAAACTAACCATCCGAGATCGAGTGAATAATGAAACTAGCAGACACAACTATGTGGACGACACCTTGTACTAGACTCACCGAGAAACAGCAGATCAAGTGGTTTGGCCATCTCGTTAGAAATTCGGCAAGATCAAATACCACAAGCACAACACCTCAGAAGATCAGCTACAAGAGCAAGAGGACGGCCGCAAAACATGGATCGACAACATTAAAGACACTCTACGCCTTCACGGCATGACAATAGCCAGTGACAGCCAGCGTGCACTGGATCGCAAATTATTCCTGCCCACGTCGCTTAACGGCAGAAGTGGTTTATGATAATGACGACACGCTAAGGGATGGATATACTAAAGATGGGATTTAAGCGCTCATGGACTTGTCTGGTGTGCGATGTAGATAATCGCTCGTTTAACTAACTAATGAAAGCAAAGTTTTAAATGGTGTCAATTTTGTGATTCAGTTTAAATGATTCATTTATTTAACTCAGTTATTTTAATCAATTGTCACTGTAGTATGTACCTGGCGAAATATAGCGAGATATGCCAGGCAATAACTTGTGCAATCATTTTTTGGTGTCTTCCTTGTTCAAACTAACTAACGTTACTAATTTTATTTCTTCCTCTTCCTATTAACAGACATTCGTGATGTTGATTGATGGCTCTGCTGACCCGGTAGCAGCAGGGGTTCTCGGAAACTTGGCTATGAACGGTTCCGTCTACATAGATCTTTATCATAATCAGATCCTCGATGATACGAAGAAGAGGGACAAAACAAACCCTGAGTTGTTGAACTCGTCAGAGCAGAACAGGTTGTCACTTCTTGTTAGGACATCAAACAGTAGCAAACTGTCATTTCAGGCGACGACCACTGACAATGAGGACGAAGTGACAGACAAAGAAAGGATGGATGACCTCACCTCTGCGACCACAAGGTCAGGGTAAGACGGTTTGACAATGACCTCTGATCTCTCTAAAAGGTATCACTGAGTTGTACCATGTTAAAACTGAGAAATTCCAGAATAAGTTACTTTGTAAATTTGGACTTTTATCTATGACAGACAGACAGACAGACAGACAGACAGACAGACAGACAGACAGACAGACAGACAGACAGACAGACAGACAGACAGACAGACAGACAGACAGACAGACAGACAGACAGACAGACAGACAGACAGACAGACAGACAGACAGACAGATAGATAGATAGATAGATAGATAGATAGATAGATAGATAGATAGATAGATAGATAGATAGATAGATAGATAGATAGATAGATAGATAGATAGATAGATAGATAGATAGATAGATAGATAGATAGATAGATAGATAGATAGATAGATAGATAGATAGATAGATAGATAGATAGATAGATAGATAGATAGATAGATAGATAGATAGATAGATAGATAGGTAGGTAGGTAGGTAGGTAGGTAGGTAGGTAGGTAGGTAGGTAGGTAGGTAGATAGATAGATAGATAGATAGATAGATAGATAGATAGATAGATAGATAGATAGATAGATAGATAGATAGATAGATAGATAGATAGATAGATAGATAGATAGATAGATAGATAGATAGATAGATAGATAGATAGATAGATAGATAGATAGATAGATAGATAGATAGATAGATAGATGGATGGATGGATGGATGGATGGATGGATGGATGGATGGATAGATAGATAGATAGATAGATAGATAGATAGATAGATAGATAGATAGATAGATAGATAGATAGATAGATAGATAGATAGATAGATAGATAGATAGATAGATAGATAGATAGATAGATAGATAGATAGATAGATAGATAGATAGATAGATAGATAGATAGATAGATAGATAGATAGATAGATAGATAGATAGATAGATAGATAGATAGATAGATAGATAGATAGATAGATAGATAGATAGATAGATAGATAGATAGATAGATAGATAGATAGATAGATAGATAGATAGATAGATAGATAGATAGATAGATAGATAGATAGATAGATAGATAGATTCCTAGCATGCATTATTTTATTCATTTATCATTTAATTGGTAACAATAAAGTGCATACATAAATGCCTTATGGTCAGTTCTATCATGCATCAACAGTGTCATCAACAATAAGGCACCACAACCTGAAGCAGTTCCACCATCAGCAGATGTAGGAAGTGAGATCTCCCTAAGGACCCACCTCTGCTCCATGGGGTACCTAGTCGTGGTCGTGTTGACCCCCATTGTCCTCCTCCCTATTATCTTCAGTGTGGATGAGAAGGTGAATTCTTTCATTCCTTTTGTCTTTTTGTTTTTCGACTAAGGGAACACAATATTATTTCACAAGACTCCGTGACCTGGGATCACAACACTGCTGATATAAAAATGGACATGAGACGTTACAATTCTGGTCAAAAAAGCATTAAAGGAATCTCAAATAGAAGCAACTAAAGCAACCGGATACAAGTCAGCAATATCTCGTGGAGATTAAAAATGCAAATGACGAGCTAATAGTTGAAAGGATGAAACAATATCAACATGAAAATCAAGAAAAGAAGATCGGTAAAAATGTTGATTGTTTTAAAACTATACAAAAAGCTAATACCAACTTATCCGTGAAAGAAATGGGATGGTTAGCGCTCTTTGAATTTGTCTTCGGAATATGTGTGAGTTCTGGAAAATAAACGGACAGACAGATGGGCTGGTTCAGTGCCAAGGGGTGGTAAATAAACGCATGACAGTCTAGATTTGAGCAAGTGATTAATATTGTTGCTAACAGTCCATACTCAGGATTTGAACAATGTTTCCCCTGTCTGTGTGTAGCACCAGAAAGCAGCTGGTTGTGGTTACACCATCGCCGTGATGGCCATCTTCTGGCTGACGGAGTGTCTGCCCATAGCTGTGACGTCACTGCTTCCTGTGGTCCTGCTGCCGGCGCTTGGGGTGATGTCTGCCAAAACTGTTTCCGCTTCCTATTTAAATGTAGGTCATGTGTTTTGTGGAGACTACCACACTGAGTATTTATACTTTTTTCAAACAACGACTTTGACTCTTTCTTTCTTTCTTTCTTTCTTTCTTTCTTTCTTTCTTTCTTTCTTTCTTTCTTTCTTTCTTTCTTTCTTTCTTTCTTTCTTTCTTTCTTTCTTTCTTTCTTTCTTTCTTTCTTTCTTTCTTTCTTTCTTTCTTTCTTTCTTTCTTTCTTTCTTTCTTTCTTTCTTTCTTTCTTTCTTTCTTTCTTTCTTTCTTTCTTTCTTTCTTTCTTTCTTTCTTTCTTTCTTTCTTTCTTTCTTTCTTTCTTTCTTTCTTTCTTTCTTTCTTTCTTTCTTCTATTTGTCCTTCTTACTTCTTCCTTTTTCTCCCCTAACCCCCCCCCCCCCACCCCCTTTTTCTCCCCTTTTCGAGTCTAGTCGTTTCACAGAATCTTCAAAAAAGTTGACTCTGTGGCTACAACATTGATACTTTTTATTTAAACATTGCCACTTTCATTAAAACATCGGTATCTTTAATAAAAACGCTGACATCAATATACACCCAAAGAAATATTTAAACAACATAAAACAAAAACAAACAAAAAAAATTAAAACACCCTCCCTCAAACTTCGAAACCTTTACTGAGACATTCAAACTTTTACAAAACATTGGCATTTCCACTAAAATATTGACATTTTCACCTAAAACACCGACATCATCCACTAAAACATTATTTTCACCTAAAACACGGACAACTTCCACTAAAACATTGACAATTTAACCTAAATCACGGACATCTTTCACTAAAACATTGACATTTTAACCCAAAACACGGACATCTTTCACTAAAACATTGACATTTTAACCTAAAACACGGACATCTTTCACTAAAACATTGACAATTTAACCTAAAATACGGACATCTTTCACTAAAACATTGACATTTTAATCTGAAACACGGACATCTTTCACTAAAACATTGACATTTTAACCTAAAACACGGACATCTTTCACTAAAACATTGACAATTTAACCTAAAACACGGACATCTTTCACTAAAACATTGACATTTTAACCTGAAACACGGACAACTTACACTAAAGTAGGCATTGACATTTTCACCTAAACACGGACATCTTCACCTAAAAAATTAACCTACTTAGAAGACAATCATTTCTGTTTGGCGAGTATTCAAACTGCATCCCTCACCCAGGATACATCCATGATGTTTTTGGGAGGTATCACTGGTGCTATAGCTATTGAGATCCATGGCGATCAGTCTGGTTGTGTAACCAGTTTGACTTCAATATGCTCTTGTGGTTGACTGATGCAAGTCAGATTATGTAGCTAGTGCCTCTAGCTTTCTCAGCGTGTGGTTGTGTCTGGTTGGAAAATGAGGAAGCATTGAAAATAAATTCATAGAAAAGAAACCTTTGCAGATGCTGACAATTCCATTTCTAGCGAGCCAAAGAAGTAGAGGATGATGCGAGTGAGAAGGAAGAGGAGTAGGAAGAAGAAGAAAAAGAGGAGAAGAATAAGTATAGGAGCTATAACAAGAACAACCACAACCACAATAGGAATAAATAGTGTCAGTGAGGTAGTTACACACCATCCACCAAATTTATCTGGATATAGAAGATCATATGGTTTTATAATTTTGTAAGAATGCAGTCAGAACACCTATCAACACATGCGCTTTACATGAAAAAATCTTTTATGAAATCAAGAGGCCGCCAATGGAGAAGATGGGCCATTGCATTAAAGACCTTCTACATTGATACGGAATTGCAATAGACATCGCTACCCAGTGTTTGTGTGTTGTCCATCAAGATGATGATGATGACCACTCTTTCTCATTAAGTATGAGTACGAAGATGACTGATGAGGCCGATGCGGGCCCGAAAAGTTCTTGGACAGTGAGGACAGGGAATAAGCATTGTGCCAGGGAGGGGATCTCCTGCAGTCGCCTTTCTTTCCATTCTTTTCTTAATGAGTCTTGCTATTCTGTTTGCTTCACGTGTAGCCACGCCCTTGTGTAGAGTTGCACGCCATGCAATTTGGTCTTGAGAGGCAGCCTCCCTACTGGTGTCATTCATCCCTAATGCTTTGAGTGAAGACTTTAAGGTTTCCTTAAAGCATTTCTTTTGCCCGCCTTGGGAACGTTTTCCATTTTGCAGCTCACCATAGAAGAGTTTTTTGGGGAAGCCTGAGATGTGGCTCGCCACCCAATAAGCATTAGATCGCAAACTGCTCCTCCAGACGGCGCTTTACCTACACAAGCGGAAATTAATGATTATGATGATGGAAGCAACAGAGATATGGTTTCTGAGACAAATGTTACTAATACCTTGGACGACCAGAGTAACTAACAACGATTGCTTGAAAAAAAAAAAAGCTAATCAAGTAGATCTCTATATACAACAATAAGAAAGAGACAAACACTGTTCTTTAGCCACATAATGAGAAGAGAGACATTAAAGAACATCGTGAGCACCGGAAAAAATCAGTTGAAAAGAAGTAGAGGCAAACCAATAGAAATGATGCTAGATGGGCTGAAACGATGGCATGGAGGGATATCATCAAGAGATCTGTTCCAAGCAACCAGGGATCGTGATCTGCGGAGACACATGAGAGCCTACGCCAATCGGCAGGGCACATGTTGATGATGATGATGATGATGATGATAAGGATGATAATAAAGATGATGATGATGATCAAGTTACGTGTCTCTGGGTTATGACAAACTAACAAACAAATATACTGACCAAACACCACCCATCTCTTAAATCACAGCCTTCTACTGGGCATGTCCTTGGTCACCTGGTTTCTATCAATGTGGATCTCTAACACCGCTACCACCGCCATGATGATGACCACTGCCCAGGCGCTCCTGCAGCAGTTCAGAGACTTTAAAGACGTCCATTCAGCAAACGGTTCCTCCACCAACGTCTGTTCAACAAAAGAGGCAATCAACAGGTTTGGCGGAGTCTTCTCTCTCTCTCTCTCTCTCTCTCTCTCTCTCTCTCTCTCTCTCTCTATTCCTCTGTCTCTCGCTCTCTGTGTGTGTGTGTGTGTGTGTGTGTGTGTGTGTGTGTAGATGGGATGTAATTAGCCTGACGAAAATAAAAAGGGGCAATTCAACAGCAGTAAAGAAATAGGAGAAATGTGTGGGCATCCACTTGTATCAACAGTTAAAAGACAGAGAAGAGAAATGTGTTGGCATCCACTTGTATCAACAGTTAAAAGACAGAGAAGATTTTGGACACATCCTGAGAAAAGATGAACAGAGATTTATCACACATTCACTGAAATGGGAAATAAATGCATTGAGGAAACAGGAGAAACTTAAAGGCGAACGTTGATGAGAGAAGCCAAAGGGGCTGGACTGGATTCCATCCATGGTATTGATTTTATTGAGATCTCTTCCTTCCCTGACGCCGCGAGGCATTCCAGGAGTAGAGAAAATAAAGAAGAAAGAAGAAGACCAACCTTTTATGAGAGATGAATCCAACATGTAAAACATAATGAAATGATACTACAAACATCAACAAAACAAATATATAAACATTTAGTGGCTAAACAGCTCGCCGATAGACGACTTCGTCGCCGGTCTGGACAGTATTTATGTGTCTTCTTTTGTCGCATCAACACTGCAGGAATCCCTTTCAGGGCTCTTGGTGGCGTGCCATTTTTTATGACGCACATAACCTAGGCACAATTATAACCTAAAGCTGTCCCTTCGGAGATGCTGACTGAACCTGACGATTACTAATATTTTTGTTTTTCCAGCTAAGCACCGACCGACCTACCGACCTACCGACCTACCACCTCAGCTCCCTTATCCATTTTCTGTGGGTGAGCATGGGGGAATAGGCACAAGAAGATTAGGTCTTGTTAACATGGGTAATAATAATAATAAATATGACTAATATCATGCAATGAAATGCAAATTATGTAACAATTGACGTAAAAAGAGCACGATATAATACCATTTCCCCGTGTGGGTTCCGGGGCCCCATTGTGGTGAAAACAAGAATAAACCCACTGCCTCCCCAAAAAGCATGTCGTAAGAGTCGACTAATTGGGGAGCTTCCTTTGAAGTCGGAGTGCATCTGCTGGAGAGGCAAGGAACCAACAGTCTGTATTCAAGAGAATAAGATCTGTAAAACTGATGCACACGCAACACTCAGGTTCTGGAGCAGGACTGCAGTTCAGTAGTGGACGAACAACCAGAACTTTCAGCCAAAGTGTACAGCTGGTGAACGTGAAGAAGAAGAAGAAGAATACCAACATTGTGTTTACCAGTTTACCAGTGCTACACGTGGACATTAATGTAGAGAGAAACATAAAATGGAAACAACAGAATTGAAATGTTTGGCTGACTGACTGATTTTCTACCCCACCAGGACATCACACAAGCGATAAACACCCGATGACACAACGTGCCACCATGTGGATGAGGATCACCGTGGAGAGGTCCCAGATACCGCGTTCAGCCTTTAGGCCATATTTTGCGGCCCATGGCAAGAGTTAGAGTAGGGCTTCAAATAACGAATAATGTCATCCTAAAAAGGACGGAAGGTTATGTTCTGCTAATTAAAATGTTTACGACGAACTCTAAACGAAACAAGAAGACACAGATCAGAAATGACTTTATCAGGAAACAAGCTAATACAGAACCAGTAATAAATAACATCAACAGACAACCGATTGAATGGTTTGGACATGTATCAAGACTACCACCAGATTGTTTCCTACAGAGAGCACCGTCACTTAAACATAATGGAAGCAGATCTAGGGGTCGACACGGAAACGATGCATCAATGGAATATCCGAGGCCGTATATACCAGCATTTGTGTCGCACAAACCACAGCTAGTAACCGATACCTCTTCAAAACCTGAAAGGCAGAACAGGGCTGGAGAAAAAGAAACAGAAGACAAAGAAAAAGAAGAAGAAGAAAGGCAAATTTGAAAAACAATATCTGAATGAAATGAAATATACAAACAATGCGAAGAGAGCTTCTATGTATGAATGCTGGGGAAAATATCAGTTAGTTCCCTTATGCATTTTCTAATGGAAAGGGGAATGGATGAAAGAAGTTCAACCACCACCACCGCCACGAGCGATAAGCATCATGTGACCCAAAGTGCCACCATTCAGATGAAAATCACCCGCCAGACACAAGACCCAGAAACTGCTTTCAACCGTTAGGTTATACTAGGGCTCCCTAAAATTGTGTACCATACTAAGGCGGCTTGATAATAGGTAATGTAGGAATCCCTCTCCTCCGCCCCCTTCCCCCGGGCCACAAAAAAAAAAATTGGGGTCATGGGTTGAGTTCAGTGGAACCCGAGCATTCAAAGATCGGGCACTCTCTTGAATTAGTTAACAGTTTGTTTCCATTGCATATTGAATCATATAGCGAATACACATTCTGTCCGACTTATGTCCAACGCGACTTACGACTGTTCCCATTATGACACCTCCCCCCCCCCCCCCCAACACACACACATACAAAAATAGTAAAGAAAGAAAGATAGCGACACTGATAGGTTAACACAAAATTATGTATTGTTCACATTATGTACCGCAATTCTATGTACATATATTGTATTTTGAATCCAAATAGTGTTGAAAACGATAAATCTGATACACGACGAGTTCAACTTACGACCAGTTATTCGACGTCTCGGCAAGTCAACCTTTAGAAATGATCCCTAACAGTATGATCTTATTATACGACCAGTTAATCAGAACGGAACTCCGTCGTATGTCGAGGGGAGCCATTGGTTACTCAGATCTCGTTCTCACTATATCTCCCAGCTTTTAGCGACTGACGTCAGAAGTTGCGTGTTTGGTCCTCCGAGACACCAACTGTCCCCTGGGTACCTCTACAGTGACTGTCACCACAAGAAGATGATTATAGTGTCTCCTAGTTTCAACACAACACAGACTTTCTTGGCTAGGCCTTACCCTAGTTCACGTAATCGGGTTGGCATAAGAGACCTGTCTTTTTCACCAATCTAATCCGTACCTCATTTGACTCTACCACTCCTGCCTGTTGGCACTTCTCTTTCCTGTTAGTGAATTACTTGCCGGTTGGTCGACTCGCATAATTTTTTCTCGGGTCCGATGCCCTCAGGAGAAGTTGCCTAATTTACCTATCTAATAATATGGTTCCACGTCCTTTTAATGATGCAATTTTTTGTTATTTGAAGCCCCACCCTGGCTTTTGCCAGGGGCCGCAATATAGGCAGGCCATTAATATGGCCAATTGTCTGAACGCGGTTTCTGGGACCTCTCCACGGTGATCCTCATCCACATGGTGGCACTTTGTGTCATCGGGTGTTTATCGCTTGTGTGATGTCCTAGTGGGGTAGAAAGTCAGTCAGTCAGTCAGACTCAGGAGAACCAAAACTGACGGGTCGTGCTGCTGACGTCACCAGGCCAGGCTAATATGGGCTGCCGCGAGCGTATGTCAGGGGAGCCACTGCATGAATCAAGAAATTTTCCAAATCTGCATCAAATTTGCACTTTCTTTCCCTTCTTTCCGGAAGTATTCAAACTGCTTCAGTCGCTCGTGTGCCGCGATTTTTCTTCATTAGCGCGAGACTCTTTTTTTTTTTTTTTTTCTTTTCAGTGAAGTATACTTTTTTTTTTTTCTGTGATAAAGACTTTAATCGAAACGCTCACTTGATGCCTAAGTGTAGTTTTTGTCGTCGAGCTTCCTAGATGTTTTTTAAAATTTATTCCTAATCCTACCAGTTAGCCCCACTATTTAGACACCTAATTGTCTCCCTTAGAGAAAAAACAGCAAATTATGAATAGCATCTTTATCCCTACTTTATGTTATCAGTGCCAAACATGGACAATGAATAAGGCACTAGAACAGAAGATAACCACATGTGAACTGACTGACTGACTTTCTACCACATCAGGAACTAACACAAGCGATAAAAAACCTATGACACAAAGTGCCACCATGCGGGTGAGGATCACCGTGGAGAGGTCCCAGAAATCGCGTTCAGCCTTTAGGCCATATTTATGGCCAGGCTATATTGCGGCCCCTGGTAAGAGCCAGAGTAGGGCTCCAAATAACGAAAAATTCCATCCTAAAAAGGACGGTAAGTCTTGCACCAATGTGAAATGCGCTCTGTCTCAGCAAGGTCACTAACATCACTACACGAGACTGGGTTACGAATATCAGCATTAGAGAGAACGTTGGAATAAGACCATGTCTGCATTTTTTAGACAAAGAATGAAATGGTTCGGCCATATAGTGAGAATGCAGCCAGACCAGAATTTGCTTTATTGTTTAGGAGCGGAACATTTGGAAGGAAGGCGAAATGAAGATCAAGAAAGAGATGAATGAATGATGCAGCTGGAACCTGCAAAAAAGAGTAACAAATCCTTGACTCAAGCCATCCGAGAAGCGCAAGCCAAAAACAGAAAACCACGACGTTGGGATTCAACCTGGTATCAATGAGACGACAAAAGAAGAGGAAGAAGAATCTCCAAATGGGTTTTGGTCTCAGTTTTGGAGAACAAATAATTGACCAACCCCCACTCCCACCCCCCACTCCCCCCACAACAAGCATTCATTTAAGACGACTAATTAGAGGTGACGGTTCCTTCAAAGTCTAAGTGTATGCCTGGGAGGCAAGGAACAGTCTACAGACACATAGGCCAACTTTGTAAGTAGGATATGCACATAAAACTCAAGTTTTGGATCAAAACCCAAGTGCACGATTGTGAAAACAGCCAGAGTTTACAGCCGATGAACCCTAAAAGAAGATTTATGCTCAAAATTGACTGAACTTGTTCTCGTTGTCAAATTATCAGGGTCTTTGAGGATGTGGGCCTTCGTTCTCCAGTCACCTTCAGCACCTGGATGGTCTTTGCGCTGCCGCTCTCACTGCTGCTACTCGGGGTCATGTGGCTATGGACGGTAACTGTCGTCCTCAGATGCAAGTAAGAATTGCGGCAGTTGTGTCCCCTGAAAGAGTGGTTTCTAAACTGGTGGCCTGCAGAGAAAAACAATCATTAAGACCGTTCTAATATAGATTTCCTCTGTCTAAAAAAAACACACACACACACACACACACACACACACACACACACACCACATATTTACTTACTTAGACATTCCTTTTCTACCTTGGGGTGAAGAGGTTTGGCAGAGAGATCGCAAAACTACTCAGTCTGCAGTTTTTTTGTGTGTGTGGCTTTATTCCACTCCAGTCCTCTGTCAGTCAGGGACTGTCGAACTTTGCCTTTCCAGCGAACCATAGTCGTCCTGGAGGTCTAGTTCATTGGTTCTTGACCTCCCGTTCTGGTTTAAATTGATAATACACCAACCATGTCATAAACAGCTTAACTGAACATAGGCAAAGACGACTTACAGGTAATTCATTGGAACTGTTTGAGTATTCAGGCAAATCTAAACGGAATGCTAAAGCATATAGGCGGTGTAAACAATATCATTGCAATTCAAGAAACATGACTCAAACCAACTTTGAGGAATTCCTTGTACAAATAGCATGCCCTAACACAATTATAGCACTGATCCATATGCTGTCCGATGAGCATTATAAATGATGAAGATCTGAAAGAATTAAAAAATAAGATACATAGAAATATCGAAATTGTTGGTGATTTTAAATGTTTACCATCCAGTCTGGGCTTGTCTGGCATCTAATGAGAATGGTAGGCGTCTAATGGATTTTGTAGAAGACAATAAACTAACAATATTAAATGACAGCTATAGACTTAACAATGGTCACCTCAGAATTAGCAGGCAGTAAATGGAGAATAATGAATGATACGAATAGTAACCATTTACCTATAATAATTATTTCTAAAATTACAACATTTGAAAATGAGAGAAGTAACAAACAAATGTTCAATATTAAAAAGGTAAAATGGGACAGTTTTATAGAGGAATTACAAAGAATTGAAATAAAAAAGTAGGAAAAAAAAAAGAAGAAAACTTACGTTTGTATGCCGAGAGACTCACAAATAGCATCCTCAAAAACATACCCAATCAAAACCTGCCTGATCACTTTAAGGAGGAAATGAGTAAACCCCCAGACCTTGACCACCAACACCCGGAATAGCCGCGTAGTCCCTTCGTAGAACGACGGTTGCACAGAAAATCGTGAAAAAGCACTCTAAAGCTATAGAAAACACAGAACCCAGGAGGATTTTGATGTGTATCAGAACCACATAAATGAAGCCAACCGAGTAGTCAAAGAGAGCAAGGAGGCACACTCAAAACTATTTTGTCAAAAATCCTCACAGAATACTCCAACGAACAAGGTGTGGGGTCAGATAATATAAAGACTATAAAAAGAAGATGTTGGCTCGATTGATTTTTGCTTATGTCCACTATCATCATCATCCACATCACCACCACTATGATAGTTCGTCGTCAGCCTCGAATTTGGTAGACGTATTCATGATCATAAACTTGTATGTTGTGACATCACCATAACCTCATTTTATAATAACCCCACTGCTTCATCAGTATTACAATTATCATTGTCGTATTTTATCATCAGCAACCTCCTCATAATTATGATCAAAAGCATCACATATCATCATCATCATCATTATCATCATCAGCAGCATTATCATAATCATCATATATCATCAATTATAAAATCATCATAGTCATCATATGTCACATTTCATCATCACCATCAACATCATCACCATTATCATCATCATTAACAACATCATGAACAATATCATCATCACCATCAAATCATCATCAACATCATCACCATTATCATCATTATTAACAACATCATCATCAACATCATCTTCAACATCATCATCAACATCATCAACAACATCATCATCAACATCATCATCATCAACATCAACATCATCATCATCATCATTATCACAATTATCATCATCATCAACATCATCAATATCATCATTATCAAAATTCATCATCTTCGTCACCGCTAGCGATTAAAAACATTACTTTTATGGGTTTAATTCAGAGGTGATTGTAGCTGCTGCTTGCGCGGCTCAAAGTTCAAGAACGAATACGTTGAGAAAGTTAATGAGATGATCAGGGAGGAGTACCGGAAACTGGGTCCTGTCACGTGAGTTTGCTTGTCTGTCTGTCTGTCTGTCTGTCTGTCTGTCTGTCTGTCTGTCTGTCTGTCTGTCTGTCTGTCTGTCTGTCTGTCTGTCTGTCTGTCTGTCTGTCTGTCTGTCTGTCTGTCTGTCTGTCTGTCTGTCTGTCTGTCTGTCTGTCTGTCTGTCTGTCTGTCTGTCTGTCTGTTGTCTGTCTGTCTGTCTGTCTGTCTGTCTGTCTGTCTGTCTGTCTGTCTGTCTGTCTGTCTGTCTGTCTGTCTGTCTGTTGTCTGTCTGTCTGTCTGTCTGGTATCAGACGCCACCAGCTGAGGGACATACTGAATATAGAATCCGAGCACTTATAGATAATCTGTCGATTAACTCATTAACTATATGGCTATATGAGTGCACTGTATGTCTGATTGTGGATATATTGATGTACATACATACACATACATGTTCCGGTCAAAATGGACGCTAGGCACGGTCACTGTTGTGAGCCGTGGCAAAAAGTTTTTTTGCTTCTGCCAGACGGTGGCTGGTGCATTTTTGCTCCGTTTGTAGACTGAAAGGATAGTTTCGTCGCCCAGCTTCTAATTTAAGTGCATGGCGTGACACTGTGAGCTGATGATTTCATTCGGAATGTTTTTCTACTGTGACCAACGTGGTGGTGTGAATTGTAGATTCAGAAAATGGCGCGATGCCTGTTGTCGCAATATTGGTGGTGCCATTATGTGATTAAAATTGATCGCGCGTGCAACTGCTGATCTGTTGGTAACTTCTGCTACCATCCATGATGAAGTGCATTTATAATGTCGGACTGTTTGTGTTAGCACTTCGGATGGCTACCGTTTGCTTTTAATGCGTGTGGATGCTAGTATAGTACACATGCTGAGACAGCAGTCTGTCAATCTTTCAACAAGGGACTGTGATAAACATTCTGTGTGTTTTTCGTTGATAACTATAGAGTGACCCGTTTGCTATGAAGCTGAAACTAAGATTACCAGAATACATATACATGCACACCTAACAAGAATGCCCTGGTACTATCCGCCACAGCGAGCCACACTAAAAAGTTTACAACGGGTAAAGAGCGAGTGGAAGACCTCAGAAAATATGGAGTGATGGCATTAGGAACAGCCTTACCGAAATGAACATCAGTCTTAATAGTGCTCGGGACAGAGCTCATCTACGTACATTACATCTCCCCCCGACACTTCGATGAGGTAAAAGGTGGAAGAGAAGAAGTGGAAGAAGAAGAGATATATATATATATATATATATATATATATATATATAAACATAATTGTGTCTGTCATCTGTCTGTATGTAACATAGATATGTGTCCACAGATATGCCCAGGCTGTGGTTGTTGTCAGCTTCCTGCTCATGTTGCTGGCGTGGGTGACGCGAGACTTGGGTGAGGCGGGTGGGTGGAGACACTTGTTTCCTGGAGGGTCAGTGTTCTTTGTTTGTGTGGTCACTTTTGTCACTTTATTTACAGAGCCGCGTTCTTTGAATAGTCACTTTGCTTAAATACGGTAACTTACTTTATATGGTAACTTTATTTTTATAATTATACTATTTATTTAGTCGCTCGTTTTTAGGCACTGATTTATAATCATTTTATTTATATATTCTATTTATATGGGCACTCTATATCGTTGTTGTCTTTATTTGATTTATAAATAAAGATACATTTTTATAGAGATAAAAAAAAAATTCAGTAAATTTTTTTTATGAAGAACTGTATTTATGTAGTTACTTCCTTCTACTATGTCTTCTGTTCTCTACTCCAGGAATGCCTTGAAGCCCTAAGGAATGAAGAGATCTCTGGGGTGGACCCTTCTGTTTGCTTCGTATACAGTAATTTTCAGTGTTTTCAATAATTCTGCTGTCCATCTTCTGCGTGGTCTACCCCTGGGTCTGTTACTTTTGATCTTATATATTTTTTTTTATTTATAGGATTATTTTGTTTAGATGGTCACTATAGTTTAAAGTCTATGCATTTAGCCGTTTATGTATATTATCATTTAAATATAGTCTTTGTTTTTGGTAGTTACTATATGGACATTTGTGCCTTAGGCGTCGTAAACGCGCTCGATCCCAGCTGCAGGCGATTTGGCAGAAGGACGTCTAGCGTTGGTTTCGGCAGCGGTACTGAGAGATGACTGCCCAGAAAGCAGTGGCAAACTACTGAACATACAATTTGCCTAGAAACACCACAACAGTAAAAAATAAATGGTGGATTGGGTCTGCAACTTCCTGTAAAGGAAGCGCGGCTAATTTTCATATGTGTTTGGTCAATATATATTCATATATTATACATTTATATAGTTTTATGTTACAGTAATGATACTGACACCACTCTCAGGTAAAAGCATGTCTTTGTCCCCAGATATGTAACAGATTCCACACCTTGCATTTTGTTTGCTGTTCTGATGTTTACACTTCCTTCGTCCCTCCCGTGGTCGGGCATTGTCAGGTGTCACAGAACAGGTATGTTACAGAACAGGTATGTCACATCTCTAAGTCACAGAATAGGTATGTCACAGAACAGGTATGTCACATCTCTAAGTCACAGAATAGGTATGTCACAGAACAGGTATGTTACAGAACAGGTATGTCACAGAACAGGTATGTTACAGAACAGGTATGTTACAGAACAGGTATGTCACATCTCTAAGTCACAGAATAGGTATGTCACAGAACAGGTATGTTACAGAACAGGTATGTCACAGAACAGGTATGTTACAGAACAGGTATGTCACAGAACAGGTATGTTACAGAACAGGTATGTCACATCTCTAAGTCACAGATCAGGTATGCTACAGAACAGGTATGTCACATCTCTAAGTCACAGATCAGGTATGTCACAGATCAGGTATGTCACATCTCTAAGTCACAGAACAGGTATGTTACAGAACAGGTATGTCACATCTCTAAGTCACAGATCAGGTATGTCACAGATCAGGTATGTCACACCTCTAAGTCACAGAACAGGTATGTCAGAGAACAGGTATGTCACAGATCAGGTATGTCACAGAACAGGTATGATACACCTCTAAGTCACAGATCAGGTATGTCACAGAACAGGTATGTCACAGAACAGGTATGTCACATCTCTAAGTCACAGATCAGGTATGTCACAGATCAGGTATGTCACACCTCTAAGTCACAGAATAGGTATGTCACAGAACAGGTATGTCACAGAACAGGTATGTCACAGAACAAGTATGATACACCTCTAAGTCACAGATCAGGTATGTCACAGAACAGGTATGTCACAGAACAGGTATGATACATCTCTAAGTCACAGATCAGGTATGTCACAGAACAGGTATGTCACAGAACAGGTATGATACACCTCTAAGTCACAGATCAGGTATGTCACAGATCAGGTATGTCACAGGTCAGGTATGTCACAGAACAGGAAGGTCACATCTCAAAGTCACAAATCAAGTAGCTCACACATCAGGTGGCACCTTGACTAAGCAACACACAAAATATCCCATTTTGTGTTTTGCTAAAAAGGGTACCCTCCTTGAGTATTGTCTACTTCATTTCATTTATGAAGGTGGAACAAGAAACAAGGAAATGTACGTTGATAGCCTCCATCGTCTGAGAGATGCAGACAAAAGAAGACGCCCTGGGAAACGGAGAACAAGCAGTTGGTTTCTGCTGCACGGAGGTGGGGCATCACATCGATCCCTACTTGTGAAGCAGCATCTCGCAGCGCGTAATGTGACTGCCCTTTAAACATCCTCACAGTTTTTCAGATCTGGCACCAGATTTCTTATTCCCTAGCCTGAAATCGTATCATCCAGCATCATCTCTCTTGGTCTGCCTCTATCCCTTTTTCTACTAATCTTTCCAGTTGTCACGATGTTCTCCAATGTCTCTCTTCTCATGATGTGGACAAAGAACAGTGCTTAATTTCTTTCTTATTGTACACAAATCACAAATTCTTGGAACGTTTTGACGCTACCTCGTAAATATATAGGCCCAAGACTATACGACGCATGACCGCTCTGTTATGGTTTAATGCATATGTATGGGTTGAGAGTTTATGACCTGCGACCCCACTAATAAACAGGGCTATGCTATAACACAGAGATACGGCCGAATCAGGCGGCACCGTAAGGCGGCGGCAAAAGATGCAAAATCAAAATATCATTTAAACCTTTGATTCGACAACACGAAGCTATTAGGGGTGGCATTTCGAAGACTTGCATCAGACTGAGACAATTTACTGTTCGAGTCTACTATTCATGTGTATAAATCCACGAGTTTATGACGCGCCCAGCCACTGTTGAGCTGTGATATGTATGTATCAGTTTGTGAGTTTATGACGCACCCTGCCACTGTTAGGCTGTGATATGTATGTATCAGTTTGTGAGTTTATGACGCGCCCAGCCACTGTTAAGCTGTGATATGTATGTATCAGTTTGTGAGTTTATGACGCGCCCAGCCACTGTTAAGCTGTGATATATATGTATCAGTTTGTGAGTTTATGACGCGCCCAGCCACTGTTAAGCTGTGATATGTATGTATCAGTTTGTGAGTTTATGTCGCGCCCAGCCACTGTTAAGCTGTGATATATATGTATCAGTTTGTGAGTTTACGACGCATGACTCCTCCGTCACCTGCCCACAGCACCCTACAGAAAAATCACCCCATTGCTGACCTGGAAACGGCTAGAGCAGAAGATGCCTTGGTCGCTGTTTCTACTGCTGGGAGGCGGGTTCGCCATGGCTAAGGCCGCTACGGTAAGGCTGGTTTCGTTCTTCTTCTTCTCCTTCTTCCTCCTCCTCTTCTTTTTCTTTTTCTTCTTCTTCTTCTTTCTTCTTCTTCTTCTTCTTCTTCTTCTTCTTCTTCTTCTTCTTCTTCTTCTTCTTCTTCTTCTTCTTCTTCTTCTTCTTCTTCTTCTTCTTCGTCGTCGTCGTCTTCTTCTTCTGCTTCTGCTTCTCCTTCTTCTTCTCCTCCTCCTCCTCCTCCTCCTCCTCCTCCTTCTTCTTCTTCTTCTTCTTCTTCTTCTTCTTCTTCTTCTTCTTCTTCTTCTTCTTCTTCTTCTTCTTCTTCTTCTTCTGTTTTTCTCTACTCCTGGAATGCCCCGCGACCTCAGAGATCTCTGGAAAAGGCCCTACTGTACGCTTCGTATAAAGTACTTTTCAGTGTCTCATAAATTTGTGTGCTACATTTTCTGCGTGGTCAACCTCTGGATCTGTTATCGTTGTATCTGTATAACATTTCTCTCTGTGATGCACTGTCTGATACCAATCGTGCTTGATGGCCGAATCATTTGATTTGTTGTTTACCTTTAATGTTCAGTATCGGTTCTGTCCCAACTCTCTTTCTGACAGCATCGTTCCTAAATCGATCTTTCCTGGTTATACCCTGCATAGTCGGTAAATATTTCATTTCTCTCGTGATTATTTTCATTTTGTCTTCTGAAGACAGTGTCCATGTTTGGTATTGATAGCGAAGCGTTGGCGAGAATATTGTGTTGAACAGTGTTCTTTTAGTGTTCATATTCACAAGGCTTCGTTCTTAACAGGACATTTGTAACTGGGCATCTCACTCACGGGGATCTGCCGTGGCGTAGCTGCTAGACGCTCGCCTGCGGATTTGAAGGTTGTGGCTTCAGGTCCGGATGGAGTTAGACTATTTTTCAAAAATGACCTTAACTCGCAGGTCGATCCAGCCTTAAATGGGCAGCAGACAGAGTCATTGAAAATAAAGGCGACCCGTGTGATGCTGACCACATCACCTACCGAATACCGATAGGTCTCTAAACAATAGACCTAGCCATATATGCATCATACCCTTTTAGTCTTTTATCTCATTCATGAGATTAATATAATAAGCCGTTGTATGAGTCAGATTAGTATAATTTAGTTACGTGTTTGATTCATAAGATTATGGAATTCATTCAGGTATTTCATTAATTTGATTAGAGCAATATAGTTGAGTACTTCATTCAATTCATGAGATTAGCATGGTAATGAAGGGTATGTCATTCTTAAGATTAGTATACTTTTGAAGGGTATTTCATCTATAAGAAAACCATAAAAAGACACTGTATTTTCGAGCAGGCGTCTGCACTGAGCGAAGGTTACCAGTTCACCACATTCGCATCGCATGAAATATTTGGTTCCGGGAAAGACTGATAACAAACCGATGTTCTTTTCAGAATCCAAGAAGTGTTTCTTTGGACAAATTTGTTCGGAAACCGAATGTATCCAGAAGGATACAGAATATTCCTGAAGTTGCACTGTATTTGATATTTATTTTGCGTTTTCCCACCAGGATTCTGGACTCTCGGCATGGATTGGAAGTCAGCTCCTGGTTTTTCGTGACCTCAACCATTGGGTCATCCTGTTGATCATCTGCTACATCATCACCTTCCTGACTGAAGTGACTAGTAACACGGCCATTGCCACACTCATGATGCCCATCCTCTCTCAGATGGTCAGTATCCTGGACTGGACATCGGTCGTTACTTACTTTAGCTTGACCATTGTGCCGTTGTTTAACATGGCTAACTTCAATGGACTGGCAGTGGCAGACACTCGCCGGCAGACAATAATCTTAACTGCCAGGTCGACCCAGCCTTCAACGAGTACCAGGTAGAGTCATGGGAAGTAAAGGCGGCCGGTATGATGTTGACCACATCACCCACTGAGTGCTTATTGTTCTATAAGATTTAGGTCTACCCCTATGTGCCCAATAAACCTGAAGTCGTGGAAAAGGGTACTTTAATTTATCCACAATGGACTGCAGGTTAGTTCGTAATCACAGAACGCTAAAATATAATTGCTATAGGGTTGAACGGGGTATCGTGGATGTGTCCCTGTTTTTCTCATCCGTAAGATGTTAATCCTACAGTTTGAAACCATGGATTGGAAAATAAATGGCAACCAATTATATTTTAAAGGAGTATCATATCTGTACAGTTAGGGGGCTGCGTGGTCTCGAGGCATGGTGTCCGCCTCGAGTGCTAGAGGTTGTGGGTTCAATCCCCGGTAAGGGCTAGGATTTTTCCTCGTGGACTTGGATTTCTAGTAATTTCCACTGGTCTCTGGGTAGTGAGATCGGACGCCCGTGTGCTTTGTTGATCACGTAAAAAATTCCTTGGCAGTTGGAAACGAAAAGAGTAGCCTAACGGCGCTGCCCGGGCAAAAATTTGGAGTTTTAAAATCTACCCAAAGTATTTCAGGATCCGCGGCGGTGCTACAGAGCCTGTGCACTGTGCTGAGCTTCTTCGGACTCAATCTTGTGTTAAAAGTAGAACGGAGCACTAATGGGTTACAACCCTTGTTGATCCGTTGTTCAAATCTCAAACCTCAATCAGTACAGTTACCTAGGGTTACAAACGAGTTCCAACTTCGATACCCAGTTTGATCCTGCAAAAAGATAAATAAATAAATCACCCGACCACCCGAGAAGCGACAAAAGAAGAAAAATAATAAGATCCAACGGCAGGTGATTTCTTCTTCTTAGCTTTCGGTTTCGTATGTTCAGATCAGACCATCAAGTGGGTTGCCTCTGTAAACTCGCATATCAGCTGCAGGTCCTGCAAGGTTCCCCATAGCTTGCTCTGCACACTTTGCTCTTGAGGCTAGCGATCTTTTCAAAGTTGCAGGTAGAGTGGGCAGGTCTGCAGAATGTGCTGAGGTGTTTGTAGTCCTGTTCGTAGACGGAAAATTATTGTATGTTGCTTTGTGTTGAGTCTGCTGATGGGGTCTTGTGGATGTTTACTGTTAGTTTGTTCTCTCCACAATCCCTGGTATTTTCCTTTGATAAGTTTTTTTATTTCTGGTAATGACAGTGAATAGACGTGTTGTTTTTTCTTTGTTCCATTTTTTGCAAGTTTGTCTGCTAGCTCATTTCCTGGTATGCCGCAGTGAGCAGGGATCCACTGGAGAACGATTTGATTGTTTTCTGTGAGTCTGTTTAGCTGACGGGTCAGTTCTGAAATACAACTGCTGTGCGAAAGATGGAAGTTTGGAAGAGCCGAATGTAAGACAGGTCTGCGTGCCTAATTTGTAACCCTTTGAAAATAAAGTTCGTTCGTTCGTTCGTTCGTTCGTTCTCTTTCTATGTTGTCTCGTGGATCCCTATGAGTCGCCTGGAGGACTGACATGCAGTCACAAAAGAAAACAATTTTGCTGTTTTTGATTTTTCTTTCCTTGAGCACTTTGGCTGAATCAATAATTGCTTGCTGCTCTGCTCTGAAGTTTGTTGAGAGTCTTCCGGAGGCGCATGACGTTTCTACTGTGGTCTCATCTTGCAGCATGATGACCGATCCAGCTCCTCCATTTTTGTCAGCTCCCTCCAATGATCCATTGGTGTATAAAGTGTGTCCATTCGTGTTTTGGATAACAGTTGCAGACATGTTCAAGGGTCAGTACTAAGTCACATTCTTCAGCCTTTCTGTCTATGCCTTGGATTGTTGTTGTGACTGTTTATTTAGGCTGTAGGTCTATGCTGTATGCTTGAATCATTTCCCATGTTGAAGGATCTTTAGAAAGGATGTCACCGTTTTTTTTTTTTCAAGTACAATTTTGATAGATAGTGAAAGTTTTGTCTTTTCAGTCGGTTTTTTTTTTGTTTTTTGTTTTTTTGTTTTTTTGTTTTGTTAAGTTATTTGCTATTTTGTGCATGGGGTTGTTGTTCATGAGTTTAAATTTTTTTGTTAGGGTAAGCACCTTTTCGTCCCTTCGAAGGCTAAAGCTCTAGAGGCCACAAGTTGCCTCCAGCTCATTAATTGGTGTGCTTCTCATACCTCCAGTGATGATTCTGAGACCAGTGTTCTGTATTTTATCCAGTTTGTGTAGGTTTGTTTTAGCTGCAGTGGAGTATGCTCCCATGCCATACTCCAGTTTTGGTTGTACGTATCCAGTGTATACTTGACGTACAGTGTTGGCATCTGCACCTAAGCTTGTTCCAGTAAGTTTCTTTATAAGTCTGAGCCTCAGGGTAGATTTCCTTTGGGTGTCTTCAATGTGGGGGCCCCATGTTAGCCTTTTGTCAAAGAAGGTGATTTGACAGCATGCTTTTTTGCGTTGATTTCGACAAGTCTATGTCAAGTTGACAGTCCAGAATGCAAGGGTATCCTTGTGAACTTAGTACAACAACGAACAGCCCCAAACATGATGCTGCTGGTCTGCAAACATACGCTGAAGGATGAGCGGCTAATTTGTTAAACTGGGCGTGTGAAGAAATGCTCCTAAACGATCTTATTACCCGGCGCGCTAGCTCAGTTTGTTAAACCAGCTGCGCGGCGATCGGGGGGGGGGGGAGGGGATGTTGTCCGAGTTCACGCTCTGTGGTAGGCTGAAAAGCCACATATTTCCTAGATTTACTGTATCTATCATGGAATCAAGACCGAAGGGTTGCGATATCCATAGTACCGATCCAAAGCGTTTTTTAACTCACGGTTTTTGGATCTTTCTTATTCCCTTCACAGGCCACTGGTCTTCAACTGAATCCGTTGTTTCTGATGTTTCCTGGAGCCATTACCACATCCTTCGCGTTCATGCTGCCAGTAGCAACGCCTCCAAACGCTATTGTCTTCTCCTATGGCATTGTCAAAGTTGTAGATATGGTAGGTAAATATTATCTCGGCTGCTGCTACTGCTACTACTGCCGCTACTACTAGTGTTGCTGCTACTACTATTACTGCTGCTATTGCTGCTATTACTACTATTATCACTACCACCACCACCACCACTACTACCGCTGCTCCTGGAACTGCTGCTGCTACGACTACTTTTGCAACTACTGATACTGCTGCTAGTAACACTACTAATATTACTGCTGCTTCACAAACTACTACTATTACTACTGCTACTATTGCTATTTTTTCATCACCAACAAACAATAATACTTACTACTAGGGCTGTACCCAATATTTGCTTCGTATTCGCTTCGGGGCTGAATAGTGGACCTATTGACTATTCGGTATTCGGCCGAATAGTTGCGTTTGGGCCGAATACGAATAGTAATTACCTAACACCCGCTTCTGCATACACGGCCTTAATGCTGACAACATGGAACGATTGGTTTTGTTGAAAGCTAATGCAGCTTTCATGCATGAACTAAGCTATTAGTGACAATTTCCAAGTTTAGTTACTTGTTTTAATACTCAGGATTCTTTCATTCCTAGTTACTAGTTACCACAGACTGATTAAAGGATGCGAAACACCAAATGTTTTTAAATGTTTACTATTCTGTCCGAATACTAACTAGACATGGAAAGAATATAAACTCCAGCCACATCCAAGTCGATAATCTGAAAATCAAACGAACGGAAACATGTAAGTACTTGCGTGCTAACTTCAAATGCTCCAACATGCTGCAAGAAGAAATACAATCTAGCATACAATCTAGAAATAAAGTATACTATGCTCTTCAACATCTGCTAAAGTCAAAGTGCTGTCTCGCAATACCACGATCACAATATATAAAACGTCGATAAGACCAGTTGTTTTATATGGCTCTAAAACTTGAAGCAGAAATAAAAAAGATGAGGCCTTATTACAGGTTTTCAAAAACAGTCTTACGACAAATCTTTGGACCCATCAAAAATGGTAACAGCGGGGAATGGAGAGTGTGTAGCAACAAAGTAACACGTAATCTGTTTAAATCACGATTGATCACTGGCATCATGGGAGCTAACTGACTAAAATGGTTGGGGCATATGGAAAGAGTGTCAGATGACAGAGAAGTAAAAACTGTATACACCTAAGAGGAATGGTTGTAGACCTCGAGGCAGACAAAAAAGAAGATCGAGAGATAATGTCCAGCCAGACCTGCAAGCAACTGGTGTCACAAATTGTGAAGAGAAGGCCAGCCAGAGAGATTAATGGAGACAAGTGATATCTGCAGCAGTAAACCTCAAGTGCTCAGAATGCTAAAGAAGAAGATGGCTATTCTGTGCTACTTTATGTGAAGTAAAAGTTCAGCGTACATTTGACATAATGAATAAGCTTTTTTTTAAGATACATTGTTTAGACTTTAATATTCGTATTCGTATTCCGAAATTCCACCGAATAGTTAGTCTCGTTATTCGTATTCGGCTGAATAGTGAAAATCACTATTCGGTACAGCCCTACTTACTACTACTGCTGCTGTTACTACACGTGTTTATCTGTGTCTACTACTTCTGCAGCAGCAGCTGCTGCTACCACTACTGCTGCTGCTAGAACGACAAATATTATTGCAAATCGTACTGCTTTGTCTATTACAACAACAACATCAACTACTGTTAATATTGCAGCCACGTCTGCCGTTACAGTATCAACAACTACAACAACTACTACTGTTAATATTGCAGCCACGTCTGCCGTTACAGTATCAACAACTACTACTACTACTACTATAAATCCTCTTGCTCCCTTATTATACTTTACAATGACAACAAAGTAACAACTACTGCTGCTATAAAAACAGCAACTGCAACCTCTGCTGATCTACAACTGCTACCACCACCATTACTACTGCTGCTGCTACTACTACTACTACTACAACTACTACTCCTATTACTACTACTACTACAACCACTAGAACTACTACAACAACTAATACAACAACTACTACTAACACTACCACTATTACTACAGTAGTAGCAGCAACTACTACTAATCCTACAACTATTACTACTACTACAAATAATACAACAACAACAACTACTACAACTACTACAACAACTAATACAACAACAACTACTACTACAACAACTAATACAACAACAACTACTACTACAACAACTAATACAACAACAACAACTACTAACACCACTACTACTACTACAGCAATGGCAGCAACTGCTACTAATTTACAAATTCTTCTGTTGCTTTCACATCTGACTCTGCTGCTGCAGTAGTCATTATCTCAGTGTTTGAAATAACATCCTTTATCAATGTTTGAAATAACAACCTTTATCAATGCTTGAAATAACATCCTTTATTAATGTTTGAAATGACATCCTTTGTCAATGTTTGAAATAACATCCTTTATCAATGTTTGAAATAACATCCTTTATCAATGTTTGAAATAACATCCTTTATCAAAGTTTGAAATAAAATCCTTTATCAATGTTTAAAATAACATCCTTTATCAATGTTTGAAATAACACCCTTTATCAATGTTTGAAATAACATCCTTTATCAATGTTTGAAATAACATCCTTTATCAATGTTTCAAAAAACATCCTTTATCAATGATTGAAATAACACCCTTTATCAATGTTTGAAATAACACCCTTTATCAATGTTTGAAATAACATCCTTTATCAATGTTTGAAATAACATCCTTTATCAATGTTTGAAATAACATCCTTTATCAATGTTTGAAATAACATCCTTTATCAATGTTTGAAATAACATCCTTTATCAATGTTTGAAATAATATCCTTTATCAATGTTTGAAATAACATCCCTTATCAATGTTTGAAAAAAACATCCTTTATCAATGTTTGAAATAACATCCTTTATCAATGTTTGAAATAACATCCTTTATCAATGTTTAAAAAAACATCCTTTATCAATGTTTGAAAAAACATCCTTTATCAATGTTTGAAAAAACATCCTTTATCAATGTTTGAAAAAACATCCTTTATCAATGTTTGAAATAACATCCTTTGTCAGTGTTTGAAATAACATTCTTTATCAATGTTTGAGAAATCACCCATTTAAGCAATAAATATCTCTCCCCCACAGGTGATCAGTGGACTGTTCCTAAACCTTATAAGTGTTCCTATCCTGCTGTTTGCCACCGCCACCTGGGGAAACGCCTTCTTCAAGTTCGACCAAATGCCTCCAGAGTTTGCATCAAATGTTACCAGTGTCTTATCAAAGATCTAGTGAGACTTCAATCATAGACTCATTAAGCCAGATTGGAAATCTGAGGAGAGGCATCAAACATCTAGTGAGACTTCAATCATAGACTCATTAAGCCAGATTGGAAATCTGAGGAGAGGCATCAAACATCTAGTGAGACTTCAATCATAGACTCATTAAGCCAGATTGGAAATCTGAGGAGAGGCATCAAAGATCTAGTGAGACTTCAATCATAGACTCATTAAGCCAGATTGGAAATCTGAGGAGAGGCATCAAAGATCTAGTGAGACTTCAATCATAGACTCATTAAGCCAGATTGGAAATCTGAGGAGAGGCATCAAACATCTAGTGAGACTTCAATCATAGACTCATTAAGCCAGATTGGAAATCTGAGGAGAGGCATCAAAGATCTAGTGAGACTTTAATCATAGACTCATTAAGCCAGATTGGAAATCTGAGGAGAGGCATCAAAGATCTAGTGAGACTTTAATCATAGACTCATTAAGCCAGATTGGAAATCTGAGGAGAGGCATCAAACATCTAGTGAGAATCTTACCCCAGACTCAATATCTTACTGCACATTTCGGGAGAGCCATTAAAAGTCTTGCGAAACTTGAATTAAAGACTCACTAAGATTATGAAAATCTAGGGACAGACATCAAATGTCTTGCGAAACTTTAATTACGGACTCACTAAGACTTTATGAAAATCTAGAGAGTGCCATCAAAAGTCTTGCGATACTTTAATTACATACTAAGACGTTATTCAAATCTAGAGAGTGCCATCAAAAGTCTTGCGATACTTTAATTACATACTAAGACGTTATGCAAATCTAGAGAGTGCCATCAAAAGTCTTGCGATACTTTAATTACATACTAAGACGTTATGCAAATCTAGGGAGTGTCATCAAAAGTCTTGCAATACTTTAATTACATACTAAGACGTTATGCAAATCTAGGGAGTGCCATCAAAAGTCTTGCAATACTTTAATTACATACTAAGACGTTATGCAAATCTAGGGAGTGTCATCAAAAGTCTTGCAATACTTTAATAACAGACCCACTAAGACTGTGCAAATCTAGGGAGTGCCATCAAAAGTCTTGCAATACTTTAATAACAGACTCACTAAGACGTTATGCAAATCTAGGGAGTGTCATCAAAAGTCTTGCAATACTTTAATAACAGACCCACTAAGACGTTATGCAAATCTAGGGAGTGCCATCAAAAGTCTTGCAATACTTTAATAACAGACCCACTAAGACGTTATGCAAATCTAGGGAGTGTCATCAAAAGTCTTGCAATACTTTAATAACAGACCCACTAAGACTATGCAAATCTAGGGAGTGTCATCAAAAGTCTTGCAATACTTTAATAACAAACCCACTAAGACGTTATGCAAATCTAGGGAGTGCCATCAAAAGTCTTGCAATACTTTAATAACAGACTCACTAAGATGTTATGCAAATCTAGGGAGTGCCATCAAAAGTCTTGCAATACTTTAATAACAGACTCACTAAGACTATGCAAATCTAGGGAGTGTCATCAAAAGTCTTGCAATACTTTAATAACAGACCCACTAAGACTATGCAAATCTAGGGAGTGCCATCAAAAGTCTTGCAATACTTTAATAACAGACCCACTAAGACTGTGCAAATCTAGGGAGTGTCATCAAAAGTCTTGCAATACTTTAATAACAGACCCACTAAGACTTTATGCAAATCTAGGGAGTGCCATCAAAAGTCTTGCAATACTTTAATAACAGACCCACTAAGACTTTATGCAAATCTAGGGAGTGCCATCAAAAGTCTTGCAATACTTTAATAACAGACCCACTAAGACTTTATGCAAATCTAGGGAGTGCCATCAAAAGTCTTGCAATACTTTAATAACAGACCCACTAAGACTTTATGCAAATCTAGGGAGTGCCATCAAAAGTCTTGCAATACTTTAATAACAGACCCACTAAGACTTTATGCAAATCTAGGGAGTGTCATCAAAAGTCTTGCAATACTTAATAACAGACCCACTAAGACTTTATGCAAATCTAGGGAGTGTCATCAAAAGTCTTGCAATACTTTAATAACACACCCACTAAGACTGTGCAAGTCTAGGGAGTGTCATCAAAGGTCTATTGAGAATTTGCCTCTACTTGTTATTACAATACTAAGAAGCATCTTGCTGCAGATAAAGCTATGGTCTACAAATAGATATATAGTGTTTGATTACAAACATATTGATAGTCTCCTTACAAATACATATTTTCTCATTACACACCTACTGATGGGCTCTTTACATATTTAGTGGCTGTTTCCTTACACTTCTAGTGAATCTCTTTAGTGATCTAGAAAGTATCTTTGCTGACTTAGTGAATCTTGTTACACTTCTAGTGAATCTCCTTAGTGATCTAGTAAGTATCTTTGCTGACTTTGTGAATCTCCTTAGTGATCTAGTAAGTATCTTTGCAGACTTAGCGAATCTCCTTAGTGATCTAGTATCTTGCAGACTTAGTGAATCTCCTTAGTGATCTAGTAAGTATCTTTGCTGACTTAGTGAATCTCCTTAGTGATCTAGTATCTTGCAGACTTAGTGAATCTCATTACATGTGTGTTGAGTGTCTCTTTACAGTTCTAGTGAGGGATTTGTTTCTTGTTTCTTCTTCACGTCCTGTTTTACCATATTGAGGATTGGGGGTGAGGGAGATATAAGGTTCTGTCTCTTGCTATTTTGGCTGCCTCGACTATCGACGTGTCCCAGTGTTGTAGAACTTGTTTTTGCAGGGACACTTGTTTCAGACCTAAACAGTGGCCAGGGCCTTGTTAGGTCTCCGTAGGTTTAATGTATTTAATTGTCAACAAATGCCCTTCCATTTCCCAAAGGGTGGAGTGGGGGAAAGAAAGCGAATGACAGAGAGGGACAGACAGACAGCTCGACAGACAGATAGACAGCTCGACAGACAGACAGACAGACAGACAGACAGACAGACAGACAGACAGACAGACAGACAGACAGACAGACAGACAGACAGACAGACAGACAGACAGACAGACAGACAGACAGACAGACAGACAGACAGACAGACAGACAGACAGACAGACAGACAGACAGACAGACAGACAGACAGACACAAAGAAAGAGAGCAGTGAGAAGAGTAGAGAGAACGAGAGAGACAGAAACAGTCACACACACACACACACACACACACACACACACACACACACACACACACACACACATTTACATACACACAGAAAGAGAGGTGAGAACGGAAAACAAGAGAAAGCACAAAAAAGAAAGAAAGCTTTTTTTCATCAAAGTACTGTGTCCGTATTTTACATGATTTATAACCATATTACGATTTAAAATATATATATATATATTGTCATGTCTTGAATTATTTATAGTATTGTGAAGTTTCGTCTGAAATTTCTCCTTGGCTGGTTCATCCTAATGTATAATTTATTAGTGTGTTCCAGGAGATCACCGTATGTGTCAGTGGCGTAGCAAGAGTTTGCAATTACTTACATTTACTTACTGAAAGCAACGAAACAATAACGCTCCAATATTTGCGTGTTAGCACTGTAACTAGTATAGTCACACACATAGCTATAATTTCATATTAGGACATAACAATGGTCCCACCCCTCCACTTCTTTGACGACGGGCAGCGCAAACAATGCCGACTCCTTGTGTATTGGTTTATCCCTACAAGTTGCAACAATGTAAACTTAACTATATCCTACACACGTAGGCGGCATTGTTGTGTGAACTTGTGTCTCTTTTCCCTGCACTGATCCCGTTCCCAGTTTTGATTTTCCCGGTCACGTCTGTTTGGCTTTGTTTTAGCCAGGTGAAAGTTAGTCATTACCTGCCAAATAATTAGTTATTTTTAATCACCGTTGTGCACCGGAAGAGACCCTAAAATGAGTACCAGGACATATCATTGGAAGTAAAGGCAGACATGGAAGTGCTAAAGAAGCTACAATCTAAGGGCTTCACAATCTGCAAAGACCTAAAAAATTCATTGCGCCACTTGGCAGGGCACATGATGATGATGAGTTTAATTCTGTTAGAGGATTATATATTATAATATAATATCTGTGTTTTGCCAACACATTCTATATTATTTCACTCAATAAAATTGCAACGATAATTTATTGCAATTATCTATATACTTCATTACCCACCTAGTGCCGATTGGTCTGTAAAAATATGGGACCCTCTTCCAATATACCCGGTGCGCCTAAGGCGTGAAAAGGGATCATTACTTTTTACTTTTATCTATATTTTTTAATATCAATTTATCTGAAAGATCTTAACATCAAGGAAGATTGGCTAATAAACAGCATCTTTGCAAGCTGAAATTAGTTAGTTAGTTAGTTAGTTAGTTAGTTAGTTAGTTAGTTAGTTAGTTAGTTAGTTAGTTAGTTAGTTAGTTAGTTAGTTAGTTAGTTAGTTAGTTAGTTAGTTAGTTAGTTAGTTAGTTGGGTTATCATCATTGCACTCCGGACATGTCCATAGGTGCTCAGATCCTCCCCTCAGTATGAACCCCAACGTCCGATGGCTAATAGTACCAGTTCCATGTTGATTAACAAGTCTTCTGACGTGTCCGGTGTGCGTCTCGTTTTTTGCTGTGCCGATCTTAATTCCCAAGTCTGCCATTCTGGCGAAAGCTGAAATATTCAGGTCAAATCAAGCGCCATAGCAGGAAGGAGGGGTACAGGATGTAAGTGACTCTTTGAATCATACTTGATTGTGAAAGTACACAAGGCGGGAGAGCTGGCGAGAGACCGAGCTTCTTTCAGGCAGACCGCGAGGAGAACGACGTTCTGCAAAGAACCTGCTACATGATGATGAGCACAAGTAGATATGCTCTATATGCAGAATGAAGATCCCAAGTATGGACACTTTTAAAGCAACCAACAGAATATGAGTTGCACCACAACTTTCACAGAAACCTGTAGTCTTCTCATCCGAAAACTAATCAGAGGGTACAAGAAAAGAAACAGACCGGAAGACGAATAAGT